AAAACCCTATTCAGCGACACATTCCTATGGAGGCCAAATAAGGGGGTTTTTCCCGTAGGATCGAGGCTAAGGTTAACATAATCATTGACTTGGGACAGTACTGATGTCAATGCCTTGCGTTTTATGTTGCAGCAATGTTTTGGTCCAAGTCGCCAAGCGACCAGAGGCAAATATGAATCCTCGCAATGTTCGGTCAGCGGAGAGGGTTTAAACATGGCAGTGGCTGGTAAACCTGCAAAGTTTACCCTGCGTACCACTGGTCCAGATCTCCTCTTCTTAGAGCTCCAAATCACCCGAATTCTTAAAGGTAAAGAAAATCGCGCTAGTCTTACCGAGCCAATTCCTGTAGAATACGAATGTTTGGGGCAGAATCTTCACAGTGTATGTTACTATCCTAAGGACGAAGGCGAATATCACGTGGCTGTCACGTGGAAGGGGAGTCATGTGGCAGGGAGTCCATTTGTTGTTAAAGTTGTGAAAAGCGAACTTGGCGAGGCGGCAAACAAGGATGATGTATGGAAATTAAGAGAGGATATCAAGTCATCAAGACGTCGTAGAAAAGATAAAGTTTAATCGCGCGTGCTTTTTCAAGGGTACGGATACACAGTGGATTACAAGAAAAGTTGAAAATTAGCTGAGGTGAATGAAAGACGATACTAAGAAAAAAAAACACTTCGTTACCAAGTAATAGGAGTTTAGTGAGCGAGTGCCTTGTATAAACATATGTATGAAAGTACGAATGAAGTCTGACTTTAATGACTTGATGTAAATTAATCAGTGAGTGAAAGATAAATTGATAAATAGACAAATAAAGAATTGTAAAAGTGAATGAGTGGGCGAGTAAATAAGTGACAGTTAAATAAATTAAAGAAATGAATTTATTATATAAACACCAATGAAATACCAGGTGAGCTTTCGCGCGAAAACTTGATACCTTCACGTGTGAAAATAACATGTTATCTTCATTGGTGTTTATATAATAAATAGAACATTTTTCGTATCTCCGCTCGGCCATGTAATATCCTCTATGAATGTATCACAGGAATGAATCGAAAACCTAAAACAAAAATTGAACACATTAAGGGAGTTTATTTCAGTTAGTCTGGATTAATTAGCGTCCCCTTCTATTGAGCTCCCCTTTTGAATTAGCCCTTTAATTTTGCTAAAAGGGTCAAATACGTCTCCTTATCCTCAGGCTTCTTTATACTAAATATACAACATAAAGTAGGCTTATCTCCGAGGAATGAAACATGACATGTACAATCACTAAAGAATGATCCATTTGAGGGCAATTCTCACGGTCGAAGAAGCGTCTCCTCTGATAAAGGTAACAGAGGATAGCGACAGAGCTTGGCTATGTCAGGGGACGTTCAACTGAGCTAAGAACATGCACCACACACACACAATTGTGTGTATATACTGAGAATTATGTCGTCAGTTTCACTTTTAATGTTGTAGTTTTCATTTGAAATAAGGTTAAGGCTGAAATTCTGAAGAATGAAATAAGTTCCCTTCTTCAAATAGGCGCCCCCTTCTTATTAGCTTTTCCCCATCTTTCGACTCCAAAAATCCCGCCGAGTATTCGGGGAACTTAAACAGGTGTCCAGAGTGAACGTGTGCTGAAACAGAATAGATTTTTTGTAAATTTAAAAGACTTGAAAAGGGGAGTTGAGTATGGTGTGATGGTATTATCATGTACCGCCCAACCATTTGGGTAGTGTTGGAATTATGTAAGGAAAATATCAGTAGAAGAGTTGCCAGCCAATAAGAACCATCCGATAGCTAGGACGAACCAATTAAGAACGAGTTGGACGTTGAAAACTAATATTCAACAAGTCTTGCAAAACAATGTAGGGAAGGATATGGTCAAAACTACAGTAACAACACCTTATAGCACTTGTTGCATGATTTACTTGCAATGCAAATAGCTATGTTACTGTAAGAAGTACAACTGACTATTACACAATTTTTTTAAAAAAATAGAACTGATTGGGCATGTTTGCGTATTGAATTTTTTTTTTTCGTGTTTTGAGAAAGCACTGACGACTATTTGTAATTGGGCTTGGATTCAAAAGACTATCCTTAGATTTAAGTTAAGGAAAAAAACGCTTATAACCAGGAGCCATCAAATAACTTAAAGAGTCATCTCTTTTGTACGTAGCCGAGAAGAGAAGTCTGGCCGCTACCTCAAGAATAAAAAGCATTAGACAGAGAGAGCGCTACCTAATAATCAAACAATAAAACCAGAGAACAGTGAGCTAGTCATAAACGTAAGATGAATTAAATCGCGAATTAAAAGTGTACGTCTCTGACGGAACAATCAAATATGCAACAAAACAGAGCGCATGCTCAGTAGTCGCTAAAGAAAGAATCAAACAACAAAACCAAACCCGCAGAATAGAAAGCACTGACTACTATTTTCATTGCCATAGCAATAAAACTACATTGAAACCATCAAACAGCAGAAGCGCTAAATGGCAACTAACCAAATCGAGCTAATCAATAATGTATAATGAACTGTGTGCCCCCCCAGGCACATTTGCACTTCTAAATATCACCTAAAAGTGTGCTTTCTTAAGACGTCAGGCAAGTAATTTTAAGAAATTTGCTAGAAAGTTAAGCAAGCATATCCAGGTCAAACTGAAAATAACTGCTTGCTTGATTTGTCTTCTAAAAGAGTGAATTTTACTTTTTATAATCATTGTTTTATGCAATCATGCATACACCAGACAGAAAAATGGGTATATACTACAAGAACAGAAGAATGGTCGCGATATATCTTCAGGTGTTTTTCTTTGCTTTTTTAGGGATGTTTTTGGATTCAAAATGACCACAATTTGGCTTGTTCAGCTTCTTGTTCAAACTCTAGACCTAACACCGCTCTGTCTCATTAAGACCTAAGGCTGTGCTTTTCAAATATTTTTGAGCTCACAACATCACAAAAAATACTAGGAGCTGCTAATAACAAAACTGTTTGCTGAACCTAGAAATTTATCAAATAGGCCAGAACGATCAAACTGTCTAAATAAAGTTTTCTGATAAATCAGTTTGATGAAATATGATATTTTCTTACCCACAACAGCTCAAGGACAATTTCGGTGTTCTTGAGATGAGTTCCGCCGGAATATTTTGAAGTTTTTGCAACTCCGCCTCCCGCAAAAAGTTCCTCGCTTGGACGCTTTCATTTGCAACAAACTAAGAATGCGCGAGATAAGTAAAGTACTTTACTACCATGCGACAATCGAGCAACTAGACAGCGCGACAGTCGGTTATATACCACAAAACAGATCGAGTTACTCAGAAACGCACCACAAAGTAAAAAAACACTTTTCACTAGAGTAGTAAACAAACTATAACACAAAGCACCCTCATTAATATCGTGATAATGAGTCCACAAGACATGGAGTGCGTATGTCTGTCAGAACTCACAATAACAATTGCGTAAAGGAACATCTGTTACAGACTGAATCTTCTATCGTGTTTTTGCCATTAAGGATATTGTTACACTAATCGCAATGGCAAAGCCATGGTAAATTCCTAATTCACTCGCTACGTGACAAGATAAAAAAAATACATTCGCGTGCGTATTTGAAACAAAGACGCTTCTTCACTGAACAGTAATAGTCACCCATGCATATTCACTATAATCGCTTCCAAAGGCGCGAATTGTAGGTCGCTGTGCGTTTCTGGCATCGTTAAAAAATAAACAATCTGAATAAGAAGGATCGTAAAATAAAACCACCTACTACTGAGTGATGCAAAGTTAGAAATAACGTTTGTACGTCTAGTTCTTTTGGCTATATGAAATCCCACTGGATTATCCAGCACAGAGTTATAATACTTAATCATATGATTCGTCTCACTGGATGTAAGTATTTCCGAATCAAGTACAATATCAGCGAATTCTCTTTCAGTCATCGCGGGAAAGCGAATTCCCTTAACAATCCGTTCTCCTAGGGCTCTTCGTTTTAAGAAGCCTTCACAAACGAGGCCTTGCATTTCACATTCTTTTTCAGCCCAGCAATCAACAGCCTTGAATAATTCAACTTCTTTGATATTTAGTGAATTTTTCTCCACTAATTCCTCCAAAACTGTTCTCTCAACTGTGACGAACGCCTCTGATTTTACAGCTTCTAATGTTTGTGTCTCGATCAATTTCCAACAGTGATTCACTAAATCTTTTTCTTCGTATTTCTGTGCATCCTGCAAAACGTAAAACACGTTCAATGCGTTCAAGTTCTCTTGAAGGAAAGCAGAGCACTTTTCGGCCAAAGTAATCACCATGTATTTCTTTGATAAATACAACAACTGCATGACATTATCAACGTTCAACTTCACTTCGTCGCTGTAGATAAAGCGAAACAACTCCAGCAGGCTTTCATACTCGCAGTCAGATATCTCCACTGAATCTTTTGTCGTCTTCGCCATTTCACCGAAAAACATGGCAGAAAACACTGGGCTACTGATCGCTAAAACAAACTTGTGAGCTGGAATCCTCTTGCTTCCGCCTTGGGAGTCACGGACCACGAATTTCACATCGCTCAGGAGTTCTTGATTGAAAATAAACTCACATCTTTCTCTTATGGTACCTTTGACTGTTTGCCAGTAAGTGTCCGAAACTGTGTCAACTGACATGACTCAATGATACAACGTAACGGTGAACTTTTTTTGAGAGTTACCTGACAGCATATTCAACATTTACGATATTGTTCCTTCCCTTGGGGCATGCATGGAGGGGTCTTGTTACCCAGAATCCTAGGCCAGCTCTAGGCTTGGTTTGTATACAAGGAGTTAATTTGTGAAATTTTTCTCATCAAAGCTACCATACCTAGTTAATCACATTGTTTTCTGAGGAAGTTTCAATGCAAAATTTGATTCGACAATTTACACTCTTCACCTGTCGTGATTTGCTGGAAATATTAATCATGGGTTCTCTGGGGATTATAGTTATCTTGTGATCAGTTTTAAAAGCTAATAATAATGATGATGATGATGATAATAATAATATTGATAGCAATAATAATAATAATGAATTATTTACAATCAATATCTCGTAATAGTAAAATGGTAAAAATATAAATGGATACGTTAACTGCCTGGATTAGGTATAAGGGCGCTTTCCATTTGTTAGAACTGGCCTACAAGTCCAGTTCAATTGCAAAGAGAATTCCACTATTTGTCAGGGTTATCCAGCCATATCAGTCTATTCATAAATGGCAAGCTCGGCAGTGGAGGGTTATAGGGAAATATTTGACAAAAAATTTCAAAATGACGGTTCCGGCCGGCCAGTTCTGACTTTACTTGGAAAGCGCCTTGAGGCTTGTAAGGACTTTGCATCATTTGACCCGAAACTGATAAGGACGTCTTTAGAGGGAAGCCAACCTGGCCTCTAAGTCTCGGACGATGTTTAAAAATTATTCAACAGGCAATTTTCTCATTTAGCGGTCACTGGGAGAACTAAATAAAATAAATGTACAAAAAGCTAGCCTGGTGCTTTCCTTTGGCTTCACACCTTGCCGATTTATTTCAGTTAAATATAAATGCGATTGAACTCTGATTTTGCACCCAATTTGATACTAAATCTTTTGCAACCTCGTGCTCTAAAACAAGGCTTGCTGTAGGATAATTTATCCATCAAATTTACTCAAGGAATTAAAGCGCTGGATTGATTGAAATCTGGCTATTTTTCACGCTGCTTTAGTCCTAGAATAGGAAAGTTTGTGGTAACTTCTATCGCAAATATCTCATTCTTGCTTAAAAAAGAAAACTTGGGGAAAAGAGTTGTTTGTTATCGTCCGAGCCCTTCACTTTACCGTCAGCATAACGCCAACGAAGGTGGAAAGTGTTAGCAGGAGAGCGAGTTTCCAAAATTTTTGTGCGATTGTCAGCATTCTAAAGCTACTCATTATTGCGAAGATCGCCGCCGCAAATTATGATGTACGAGTATCACGGTATCAAAGTATTTGCGATTTTTATCGATATTTCACAGCATCATATAACGCTGACTTTTCCCACGTGGAAGGGCTGTTTTATACATTTCATTTTTTACCCTCACATAGGGCTTTGGCCTTCTTCAACACAACTCGCAGGGAAGCAAAGGCACAGTTAAAAAATGACTCAGCAGTAAAAAAATACTTTTATCTTACAAGGATATTGTACTTTAATAATGAGGAGAAAACATTTCAAATGGTCATTCCAGTTTACGGAAACAAACAGTGGCGAAAATCACAATCAGAATGAAATAAATTCGCAGCTAAAGTGAGAGAAATGTACAGTTTCATATTGCAAATGTTACAGTTCCGGATTGACAAACTTTTATTTCTACACTGTAAGCCATCATTTTCTATCCCTTCTAGATGGTTTGTCATTCCGTTCGGCTACTGCGCATGCCAGGCTACCCACCAGTTGGGCCGAGGTTGAGCAATTAAAAAAAAAACGACTAGTATGCTCCGGAAACATGATTCAGTCCAGAGTAAACACAAAGTTAGAAAATTGCCCTTTTCCACAACTGGTGTGTCTTGAAACCGAGTAATAGTGAAATGTCACTCCAGAATGTTCTACAGTAGAGCGGCCAGTTGTTCCATACCAAGATGGGGGACCAGTAATGGCAGCAGAAATTCGGTACCGTCTGTTTGCTTTTATAGCAATCGGCGGTTCAAATACAATATCAAAGCCTTGGTGATCTCCAATTTCACAGTTTATCTGCTTAGATAAAAAAATCCCTTCTTGCCTTCTAACAGTTTCGCCGCCGAAATGATCGAACACCTCGAGTGTTACTGAATATTCACTGTTGTCGCTTCCAAAAAGTTGTATTGCGTGTAGATGTATGTCCTTGTCAACTTCAAAACAAATACAGTCTGGACAGTGTGGGTCCCAACCCCTACCTAGTGATCTAAACCTAGAAACTACAAGTTTGTGCCCAGCTCTCTTGGCGTCAGGAAATCCCACTGGAGCATTAAGCACAGAGTTAAAATACTTTACCAGACGGTTCGTCTCTCGGGGTGTAAGTATTTCAGAATCGAGGACGAAATCAGCAAATTCTCTTTCCTCCATCACCGGAAAACGAATTCCTTGAACAACGCGTTCCCCAAGAACTCTTCTTTTCACGGAGCCTTCAGCTACGAGACCTTGCTTTTCACATTCTTTTTCAGCCCAGCAATCGATAGCTTTGAATAATTCCACTTCTTTGATATTCAGTGAATTCTTCTCCACTAACTCCTCCAGTGCTGATCTTTCAACTGTAACGAAACCCTCTGATTTTACAGCTTCTTCTGTCTGTGTCTCAATCAATTTCCAGCAGTGATTCATCAAATCTTTCTCTTCGTATTTCTGCGCATCAGGCAAAATGTGAAACACGTTTAAAATAAATAAAGCAACTGCATGACATTATCAGCGTTCAGGTTCGCCTTGTCGCTGTAGATAAAGCGAAACAACTCCAACAGGCTTTCATACTCACAATCAGAAATCTCCACTGGATCTTTTATCTCTGCCACTTTGCCGAAAAACATGGCAAAAAACACTGGGCTGCTAATCGCTAAAACAAACTTGTGAGCCGGAATCGTCTTACTTTCGCCTTGGGAGTCACAAACCACGAAATTCACATCGCTCAGGAGTTCTTGATTGAAAATGGCCTCACATCGTTCTCTGATGGTACTTCTGGTTGTTTGCCAGTAAGTGTCCGACACTGCATCGATAGACATGGCTAATTCAGTCAGAGATCCAAGTTTCGTTGGTGAAGTAGTAATCCAAGTATCGAAATGATAACTTTCGATTTCCTCGCATATGAGTCGCGCAGGTCACGAGATCTTTTTAGTTCCCAGTGCTCTCGGTCTCAACTGACGGACAAACCTCAGACACATTCCACTCTACAGGTGAAACCCAGGCGGTGTGCGTCACGAGATTCGACCAATCAGAATGCGTCATTTGTAGAGTGATTTTCGCGCTTGGAAAGAGCCTTTTTTAGAGGCATATATGGTGAAATTTTCGCTTAATTCCAAGCTTGTGTTGGTAATTTCGACACTATACCGCCGTGGAAAGTTGTTGGAACACTTTATCTTGATAGCAATTGCGTTACTTTTAAATATTTTGCTTTCTTGAGCGTTTGTGACAAGTTTGAATTGCTCGGTCATGTGCAGGCCGCCATGATGATTTGAGTGTTGTTTTTGCCGTTCTTCTTGGATTCGTTGCTGGTTACTGTTAGCGGTTTTATCGAATTATTTTGGCCTTCTTGTTACTTCAACCTTTCTTCTTTGCAAACTTCGGGGTCTACCCGCGTCTACCCCTGTTAGTTTTCCCGTTATGAGCCGTTGAAAGTGTCTTGGAATTAAGACATCGTCTCAGCCAAGTGGCACAACTCCCGGGAAACGGGCTGAGAAAACATGCCGAAGCGGAAGCCGACGTGAAGCGAGTAACGCCAAATCCAGGAAGATTTTGTTCTATTTTAAATCAGAAAAGGTAAATAAGTTTGAATTTTGTAATAACCTTTGGAAACAAAACATTTTCATAACCCAGTGCGGAAACTGAAAGGGTGACTTTAAAATAATGCGGCGTGTGCTATGTGTATGCAAATCTTTATGTAAACTAATGTGAGGGAATAAATTGTTATAAATCTCTACCAAGACACAAAACCGTTCTCGAAGATCCAGAAAACATTATACAGGATTTTAAAACGGTGAGGTTAGGTTTTACTTTATAACAAAATCGATATACTGCGCTCACTTCAATGAACGCACAGACAAGATCGTGGTTTATTTCTGCGGCTGTAGCTTCGGTGAAATTCCGATTGTGCTGTAGCTGAACGGCTCACACTAGATTTATTTGCGCATAAGGATTTCAAACGGGCACTGTTTTCAAAATAATATAAACTTGTCGATGAAAATAAAATTGTTATGAGAGACGATTTCTCACCTTGCTGTTTGCTCGCGCTCCCCCTGCTTTGCCGGTAATAAAGTCCATCAAATATATAAACACTTCTAATGGACGATTTTTTTTTAGTTAAGCAAAGCCAGGTATGAACTCTTTTACTATGAGATAAAAATAAACGTATAAACCAAACAGTACATAAAATCTTATGAGAAGCAGGAAATTAGTCGCCGCTCATTAGTCGGCTAGGTCGCACGATCGTGTCTGAATCGCGATAAACTTATTGAAATTGTCTTGTGAAACCAACAGCAAGCATCTAAGGCCACTATGAGATCTTGAGAATTCTCCAAATCGCTCTCTTCCGTAATGTTTTTCAGAAAAGGCATCAGTGTTTTGATCCCTGGGTTTGATTCATCTCTCTTCAAGAGATGCGAACTCGACCGTGTCACGATTAAAATGAGGCACAGTAACAGTTTTATCCATGAACCTTTGTGGGTCGTGACGCACACCGCCTGGGTGAAACCAGACCCTTCACTCATCACATCGACTGTAACTCTAAAATGTCATTTACTTGATACAATGCAACCACTGCTTTAATACCCTAGGTACCAGAGATTTTTCTCGCGTGCGGCGGGAATTTTCGGTGTTGGCCGAAGGCTGACACATCTTCGGCCGTAGGCCGAAACAACACTATAAAGACTTGACAGAAACCGGAAACCGCGTTAGAAAAGTCTCTGGCACCCAGGGTACTGCTTTACTGCAATACATCAGTGAAACCAAACGACAACTTAAGGACCGTTTCGGCGAACACCGCAGACCAGTTGACAGCCCTTCTTATATGTCTAATAGGGGTGTCTAATATCTCCAAACCCACCACAGGCTCAGAACTAATGATCACTCCGCCAACGACATCACACTTATTCCACTAGAAGCTTTGAATATAGAGACAGTGCGCGAAAAGCTAGAGAAGCATACTTCATCATGATTGAGAGAGGCAAAACTCTTGAACCCTTAGGTATCGATAAGAAAGATGAAATGTAATACATTCCTTATTTCTTCCATTTGCAATTATTTATTTATACTATTTTTACATTTCAAATTTCTTTTATATCACTACTTCAATGGTTTTTGTTTTCATTTACAGTCAATTCTCTCATAGCGACCACTTCTCGTAAGCGTCCACCTCTCGTAAGCGACCACTTCACAAGTAATCCTTTCGTTTCTCAGTCAAACACTGTTTCAAAAACTCTCTCGTAAGCGACCATTACCTACATTTCCAAAGCGACCGCAACCACTTTTTGGGCCAGAAATTTGATATATTCTTTTGTTTTCTGTTTCCGGTAAGCGACCACCCGGCATGATCACGTATGATTGTAAGAAAACCCTTGCTCTAATGTCACAAAAGTTCATTTTTGAATAGTGCTGACCAAGTTAGCTGACAGATTATAGCAGTTGATTTTCAAAAAAGATGTCTGTAATACGATCTCTAGGTAGAAAGTGGATTGTCACATTCATGCATAATGTTATGTGCATAGCTTCATCAGTTCCAAGCGCTATTCGAGTTAAACATTATTAGAAGTTCTCTACTTGCCTCATTTTTGATTGTAACATAATAACTTTACGTAATTACGTTAATCAATTCAATATGAGTTCTTTTTTTTTTATTTTTCTCGCAGACGACCACCTCCCGTAAGCGACCACTTTGTCGTGCACCAAAGGTGGTCGCTTACAAGAGAGTTGACTGTACGTTTAACGTTAGATTTTTTCTTACTCAATTTTCACGTGTTATTATAGTATCATATTGCACGCTATTCTCTTTTCAAATTGTAACGTCTTAGCATAACCTTATCATTGTATGTAAGACCCTGATGAAGGGAGGCCATGCCTTTCGAAATATTGGTAACAAAAAATATACATGTATATTCCCGATTGTAAAATCAACCCTGCTTCTTTTGTTCAATATTTCCATTTGTAGCTGCGTAGATCCTTTATAAAGATCCGATCCTTCGTTTTTGTAACGTTGGTCCTTGCTTCCAAAATTGAAGTTGCTCAATGCTTGCAGCCGCGGTTTGGTGTGCATGTAATCCTGGGGAATTTTCAAAGCTTTGTTGTTATATTCAAGATCTTGCAAATGGTATGAAAAAAACTACCAGTTAAAGTGCATATCACCCCAAATTTGTTAAAGAATAGAATAAAAATAAAAAAACTTGTGAAAAACAATGCCGCAGATTGTTTTCGATTTTAGATTAATCTCAATTTTTTACAGATTTTTAGATAAATAAAAATTAACATCTCAGGCCGTGACATTTTGGGCCTGGGGCGAGTGACGAATTTTGAGTTATTGTTCTCGTCAATATTCTCACTGCATATGTAATGAGCACGTCTCGCAGGCATGTCTGCATTCTTCTTGTCCCAAGAGTTCTTAGCAATTGCGGTCAATTATGATCTTTTGCGGCCTTCTAACTTAAATTTGAACGTCGCTGTGTGAAATCTCGCAGTTTGACGCTTTTCGCCCCTCCCACCTCCCCTGGTGGCGGTGACACATCACCAAGCTTTGCTGCATATCTTTGTCACCTCCATACCTGTCCAATACTCCAACAATTTTATGCATGGCTTTGTCAAATTTCTCATTGGTCAAGCGATGGAAAGAGAAAGTATAAAAATTCTCACTTTTGTAAAACTTTAAATTGCATCTAAAACTTTCGGGAAAATAATACTGAAGCCCTGGTAATTTCGAAAAAACTCAAGTTGCCCTAGGATGACGAAACAGATATAGACTTTATAGCGCCGATTAGAATGTATTTCTTAAGATCTAAAAGTACTCTGGGTAGCCTAAAAAGTGTTTTCAATGCATTTTGGTGAAAACCGTCGTTGGGTGCCCCTGAAAGCCTGTCAAGTGGCGATTCTGACGACTTAGAATGGAATTTTATTCCTGGGGCTGCACCGAATACTCAGCAAAACGTCCAAGAAGAAGATGAAAATTATGACAGAAGCTACAACAAAGCGTGGCGAAGCTAAGAACAATGCTTCAAAATACGTCATTGTTTCACTTGACCCAGGGAACCATCTACACTATAGGGCGCCATTTGTAGCAAATCCGTTTTCGACTATCCCATAATACTCTTTAAATCTAATAATTTCAATATGGCCGCCGTATCGGTAAAAAGGTCTATTCTTACTACCGAAACAGGTAGACTGCGAATTCAAAGACACGAGACTAAGGTCACGTGGCTGTCACGTGGCTTTGTCTGTCAAACCAAAAGGTGAACTCACGTGGTCACATCCTTTTCTCACTTCTGGGTTCGTTGTTCGTGCATCAGAGTGGTCAGAGTTTTCATATAGCGCTAGAACGCTGAAATCGAAAGAACTTTCATCGATTGACTTTCCACAAACGAAAATTTCTCCTTTTTGGCTGACAGAGAACACTATTATGCATTTAACTTGATTTGGCCTATCTTTGGCCTACCAAACGCTCAGGAATGTGGCCGCGTGAGTTCACCTTTTTGGTTTGACAAACAAAGCCACGTGACTCGAATCGTTGACGTCTGACGCCCGAAAAATCACTGTCACGCGTATCTCTGAATTCGCGGTCTCCCTGTATCGGTAGTATTATTCACGCTCAAGTTTAAGGCCATTATTTGTATGCCATAAATTTTATAAAAAATATATCAAATGCAAGCTTAAATGTTTTATTAGAAGTGAATTTCAGTTGTGGCATACAATAATTAAGCACAACAAACTGCGACTAGTGGTTTCTCCAGGAGCGTCCGACCTGGAATGACCACTTCCCGTAACTGCTCGTAACTGCAGTTTTCTTGAATTATACAAGATTTCCAAAAGAAGCGAGTAAACATTACTTAGAAGCCCAGCTTACATTGACTAACCATTCAATCTACTCTTTTTTAAAATTCAATCAAAATATAGATAGATAGATAGATAGATAGATAGATAGATAGATAGATAGATAGTTATACAATAATGTGAATGCTACGCGCGCTGTGATTGGTCGTTGCCCATGATCTATTAGAGTACAGATACATGGATGACGTCACGGGAAACTTGTTTTCTTTGTTTTGTTCAACATGGCACGCGGTTTTGAAAATGTTTGTGAGATTATTTCGGATTGAGGCAAGTGAAAGCTTCGGAAAAAGTTTAGCAGGAGCTATTTACAAAGAAGAAAAATAGAGAAACGGAAACCAAAAAAGCTATTGACTACTTGACAATGCCTAAACTACAAGAAATCTTCACAACAGTTGCCATCGTGTGTCTCCGCTACGAGAGCCTCGCTGTTTTGCAAAATGTTTTCGCTGTTATTCTTCTTTGAGCAAGAAAAGACGGTGAAATACTTTTCGAAGAAACTGTACACAAGTAAGATAAAGAAGAAGCTAAGATGAAAAGTTGGGTTTGGGACTTAAAAAATGCCTAAACTAGCACAAATCCTCAAAAGGTCAAGCGGTTCGAGGCAGGTATGTGTATCGGTCTTTTTCTTTTCTGATCATTGTATAAAACAAATAGATTCCATGTTGCCGTGGGTCTGTTCAGTAATAGATCACAGAGGACGTCAAAATGTGGTAAAAACAACAGTGACACACTCGCCTGCGGCTCGTGTGCCACTTCTTTGTTTTTACGACATTTTGACGTCATCTGTGATCTATTACTGAACAGACGCACGGCAACATGGAATCTATTTGTTAAATAGATAGATAGATAGATAGATAGATAGATAGATAGATAGATAGATAGATAGATAGATAGATAGATAGATAGATAGATAGATAGATAGACGAGTTTTATTTAGTCACAGTAGTTTTATCAGCTGAAACTGGTTTATATAAAAGTCGGGTTAAAATCATATATCTATCAGAGTTTCGAGTTAATTCTAGTTGTGAAAAAGATATGTAAAGCTAGGTATTAACCGTTGATAAAATATTCTAAACTAGGATTATAGTATGGAAGGAATCAAAGGACCTGAGAACCAAGCGGTCCAGTTTAGTTTTATATAAGTTCATTGAGGCTTGCATCCACGCAAATCCTCTGGTAATTTATTTCAAATAAATGGGCCCCTATAGCCAAAACGTTTTTTGCCCTAATTGGTTTTGGGAAGAGGCAACTGGAATCTAGAAGAGGGGCCTCTAGTATCATAGGTAGACCTCATTATCAAAACTTTTTGGCATAAGTATTCAGGTGCCATATTGTTGTGCACCCTTAACATTTGTATAGCGAGGGGCTTAATGCCTGTCCCATTCTAGCTCTTGCAACAGGCGCTGGAGCAAGAATAATAACTGGAAAAGGTTATGATCCTAGTAGCTGCCCTATTTTGCAGTTTTTGAAGCTTAAGAGTTAGATTTGAACCCAGAAACTCCCAAACAGCGCTGCAATAGTAAACGTACGGTTGGCTCCGATTGCGCTGGTTAATTTCTTTGAGATTTCCTCTGTGTGCGCGGCCTATGTAAGCGCCTCGTCAACATGTACAACCAGGGATTTGGCAGATGTTACTTTAGGTACATTGGTGTCTTCATTAAGGTGTGATGGGCAAGACATGCGAGACGACCTCTGTCGAAATCCTACAAACAATACATCTGATTTTGTTGTGTTCAGACTCAATCGGTTTGCATAGAGCAGTGAGAGAAAAACAAACGAAAAAATTTCCCACACAAAAAAAAATCTGTTTGTCACTCTAAAAGGAGCCTTTGTGCAAGGAATCAAAACATTTTTATTTTTAACTATAAAACCTATAAACTCGTGGGCACGATCAGTCAACGAAAAATCTCACCTTCTTCGACCTCAACAACTGTTATTTAATGAAATTAAAAAAAGAAAACCTTTCAATTTGACTATTCGGCGAAAAAACTGTAATTAAAAGGTCATAATAATATGCTTAACTTTCGTAGACAGTGCCTCAGCAAACAGCATGAGAACTAAGGTTATAAGCAGTCTTCCTGGTCGAAACATACTAGCACTATAGACAAGACTTTTCTCTCTACATAATCCTGTTCATAAATATACCTTTCCGAGTGGTGGTGACAGAATGGTGCTCCTTGACGTTATAAGCAATACCTCTCGTGGCACAAAAAATATCCTTCGCGGCCGATAGTCCAAAAACGCGCGAAATACGAAAGCCCTAAGTAATTTTCTACTTGCATAGTAACCGGGTTACCTAGCAACAAGATACGTTAATAAGCCCTTAAGAGTAACACGTCCGCAGAGACGTGCTGCTGAGATGGTGTTAAAGATAGTGCATTTGTCCACTGATCAACATATGGCTTCCGGTCTTCATTGAAACCTTCTTAAGACGCGAGAATAGAAAAACATAATCATTGTCACTTTTGTCAAGAATTGTCTTGATAGACAAGCCCCAAATTATTTGTCAGATTATTTTCAACAGCAGACTTATGATGTTCATGCCTATTACACTATGTAAGAGAGCCTTCTTTTATAAGGAGCTACCCGTTTAAATGATTTTATATAATTTTATCCCAGTTTCGACTATAGTTTTTCTTATACAGAACCAATGTTGATAGCAGTTTTTGTAACTGAAATGGTCATCCNAAGGAGCCTTTGTGCAAGGAATCAAAACATTTTTATTTTTAACTATAAAACCTATAAACTCGTGGGCACGATCAGTCAACGAAAAATCTCACCTTCTTCGACCTCAACAACTGTTATTTAATGAAATTAAAAAAAGAAAACCTTTCAATTTGACTATTCGGCGAAAAAACTGTAATTAAAAGGTCATAATAATATGCTTAACTTTCGTAGACAGTGCCTCAGCAAACAGCATGAGAACTAAGGTTATAAGCAGTCTTCCTGGTCGAAACATACTAGCACTATAGACAAGACTTTTCTCTCTACATAATCCTGTTCATAAATATACCTTTCCGAGTGGTGGTGACAGAATGGTGCTCCTTGACGTTATAAGCAATACCTCTCGTGGCACAAAAAATATCCTTCGCGGCCGATAGTCCAAAAACGCGCGAAATACGAAAGCCCTAAGTAATTTTCTACTTGCATAGTAACCGGGTTACCTAGCAACAAGATACGTTAATAAGCCCTTAAGAGTAACACGTCCGCAGAGACGTGCTGCTGAGATGGTGTTAAAGATAGTGCATTTGTCCACTGATCAACATATGGCTTCCGGTCTTCATTGAAACCTTCTTAAGACGCGAGAATAGAAAAACATAATCATTGTCACTTTTGTCAAGAATTGTCTTGATAGACAAGCCCCAAATTATTTGTCAGATTATTTTCAACAGCAGACTTATGATGTTCATGCCTATTACACTATGTAAGAGAGCCTTCTTTTATAAGGAGCTACCCGTTTAAATGATTTTATATAATTTTATCCCAGTTTCGACTATAGTTTTTCTTATACAGAACCAATGTTGATAGCAGTTTTTGTAACTGAAATGGTCATCCTGTTAAGATATGTTATGATTATTATTTTACAACAGATCCGAGGTTAGCAACCGAGGTTTGGACATATAAAAAAAACTAGTATGCTCCTGGAACATCATTCAGTCCAGAGTAAACACAAATTTAGGAAATTGTCCCTTTTCTTTACTGGTGGGAGTTGAAACCGAGAAAAAGTGAAATGTCACTCCAGACTTTTCTACAGTAGAGCAGCCATTTGTTCCATACCAAGATGGGGTACCAGTAATGGACGCCGAAATTCGGTATCGTTTGTTTGCTTTTATAGCAATCGGCGGTTCAAGTACAATATCAAAGCCTTGGTAATCTCCAATTTCACACTGTATCTGCTTGGATAAAAAATCTCTTTCTTGTCTGCTAACAGAAATGCCACTGCTATGATCGGACACTTCTAGTGTGACTGAATATTGACTGTTATCGCTTCCAAAAAAGTGGATTGCGTGTAGATGTATGTTTTTGTCAACATCAAAACATATACAGTTTGAGTTCAAAGCAAATTGACTGCTATAATACCACCATCTCTCTAGTGATCGAAACCTAGAAATAACTTGCTTTCCCTCAGTTCTCTGTCTTCTCTCGGTTTCGAGAAATCCTACTGAATCATGTAGCACAGAGTTATAATACTTTACCAGACGGTTCGTCTCTTTGGGTGTAAGTATTTCAGAATCGAGGACGATATCAGCAAATTCTGTTTGCTCCATCACAGGAAAACGAATTCCTTGAACAACGCGTTCCCCAAGGACTCTTCTTTTCACGGAGCCTTCGGCTACGAGACCTTGCTTTTTACATTCATTTTCTGCCCAGCAATCAACAGCTTTGAATAATTCCACTTCTTTAATATTCAATGAATTTTTCTCCACTAATTCCTCTAGTACTGACCTCTCGACTGTCACGAAACCCTCTGATTTTACAGCTTCTCCTGTCTGTGTCTCAATCAGTTTCCAGCAGTGATTCATCAAATCTTTCTCTTCGTATTTCTGCGCATCCGGCAAAATGTGAAACACGTTTAACGCGTTTAAGTTCTCTGTAAGGAAAGCAGAGCACTTCTCAGCCAAAGTAGGCAGCATATATTTCTTTGACAAATAAAGCAACTGCATGACATTATCAGCGTTCAGGTTCGCCTTGTCGCTGTATATAAAGCGAAACAACTCCAACAGGCTTTCATACTCACAATCAGAAATCTCCACCGAATCTTTAATCTCTGCTGCTTTGCCATAAAACATAGCAAAAAACACTGGACTACTGATCGCTAACATGAACTTGTGAGCGGGAATCGTCTTACTTCCGCCTCTGGAGTCACGAACCACGAACTTCACATCGCTAAGCAGTTCTTGATTGAAAACGGCCTCACATCTTTCTCTGATGGTACCTCTGGCTGTTTGCCAGTAAGTGTCCAACACTGCATCGACAGACATGGCTAATTCAGCTTTTCAGGGTTCGTTCGTTTCTTTAACGCTTCCAGCCTCGGTTTGGTGCTAATGTAAGCCTAAGGCTCTTTTCTCGAAATGTGCGATAATTGCGGCCTCGGAAGGCCATTGTTGTTTATATTCAAGATTTTGCGGATGACATAATAAAACTATGAATTAACAAAACAGACTGTACAGGATTTTTAACTTGGACGTGCGTTATTATTCTTAAGATTTTAATTTGAATATTTGATTACGGGCAAGAAAAGTTACCGTGGTGTTACAGTGATATGGGCATCCCCATCCCCAAAACCCTAGTGATATGGGTATTCCCAGCTCATATTACCTTTGCGATTTGGGTTACGGTTACGGTTACGGTTACAGGGGATGTCCATATCAGTAGGGTTTCGGGAATGGGAATGCTCAAAAATCGGGGATGCCCATATCACTGTGACAACGGGACTTTCGAGACACGGGGGGGGCCCTGGACAATGGCCTGTTTTCAAAATCCGAGCTGAAGACAACAAACAAGGCTTTCGCCTTTTCACACTGTGCATATATTCTCTGCTTTTTGCAAACCATTGAGCTGGATCGTGAGCACGGCTGCTTGATATTTTATCGTCTTTTTGTAAAATGTAAAGCTCTCCTCTGTTTCTGTTTGATGCAACGTAGGTGTCCTTCAAGGTAATGGGTCAAATGGGAACATTTCACTTACACCATATTTTTCATGCTAAGTGGGCCCTAAGTGGTGAGAAGAAAATTGCACTTTATTTGAGTGTCAATGTATTTAGCAGGAAAGTACTAATTGGGGACACTATTTGTACGTCTCCTTGTGGAGACGAGACCGCCATTTTACATAAACATCCGAGCCACACGAAGGCCTACCCGTTTGCAGGGGAAAGGAAGTACCTTCATTTCTCGGTTATTTTAAGACCATGAGTATTGCTCCGGCCCCGGGATGTCGAATCCGTGACCTCCTGCTCTGCTGTCAAGCGCTCTACTGACTGAGCTAACCCTGCCGCGGTTAAAAAGGTGCGATGAAATATTAATACCTTTTACTTTTTTCTCTTTCTTCTCCTTTTTTCTATTATACTATGAGTATACTATGTGGTAATTTTAAGAGGCAAGTTGACGTGCTTTCATCTACTGGCATAGTTTTTTACTTTTCACCTTTTGTAAGTGTTACAAATCCGTGCAGGATTTATTAATTCTGACTGAGCTTCATCTAGCCTACTACCAAGTGACTCTTATATCCATTAGAAATAAAGATTACTAGCTAATACCAGTCTGAGCTGCTAGCCTATGTTCCAACACAGCTGCTGCTGAAAAGATTGTTAGCACTGCTACTGAAAAAAGCGAAAGGGCTCTAGACTTTTCCCACATCTGCACAGCTGGAATGCTTTATCATGACAATTGATAGACAAAAGTAAATATTAGGTGTGTTCCACCTTCAGAAGGACTTTATAAAAATTCCGGGGGGTACTACACTATAAAAGTGATGGGGGTGCTCGTCGTACCTTTTAGGGGTTTAAATTTCTGGATTGGTAACGCTTATGGTGCTAAAACCGAAAATGACCGCTGCCAGAATTGTCTCGATACATTTTAAGGTAAGGTTATCGCCGAGGGTTATCGATCTGAAACTGATGTATTTGTTACGGTATGCCAATTTAATTTCTTGAATTCTTTTTATTTGAAATAAGATGTCCAGTTAATTTGTTGTTGTTGAATTGGTACCTCTTAGGTGTGGAAATGAATTTTGGGACACGCCCATAAAGAAAGATTCTGGTACCTTTTAAGGGTGTTCTCGAATTTTCCCAACGAGCACCCGCGTCACTTTCATAGGGGAGTACTCCCCCGCGATAAAAATACAAACTGATAAGAAACAGGTTTTAATGATAGCATATGATATCTCGATTTTTTCCTTCGCATCCTAAATAGAATACATTTTTTATCGAGCATTTCGGAATTTGACAAAAAGGGAGGAGGAAGATCGAGAAAATCTTTCTATTCTCAGCTTTTATTTGGTTTTTGTCTTTTTCATAAAGAAAAACACACAAAAATTGAAAACAAATTTAGCCAATTGATTTTATAAACCTCTTAGCCAACCCAAAGTTAACAGTATTTTGTCAATGCTGACGACACAACGCGCTTTTTGAATTGGTGCACTCCTTCTCTGTTAAAAGGTTTTGAGAATGAAGCTAGCTATTCTGATTGTCTTTGTGGTTAGGCTGGTCATCCAGGTCCACGGTAAGATGATCAACAAAAGTCAATACAAAGCGCCTTCATCAATATCGTAATAATGAGACCACAAAACATGGGTGCGTATGTCTGTCAGAACTCACAATAACAACTGCGTTAAGGAACATCTGTTACAGACTGAATCTTCTATCGTGTTTTTGCCATTAAGGATATTGGTACACTAATCGCAATGGCAAAGCCATGGTAAATTCCTAATTCACTCCCTACCTGCTAAGATAAAAAAATACATTCGCGGGCGTGTTTGAAACAAAGACGCTTCTTCACTGAACAGTAATAGTCACCCATGCATATTCACTATAATCGCTTCCAAAATGCGCGAATTGTAGGTTGCTGTGCGGTTCTGGCATCGTTAGAAAATAAACAATCTGAATAAGAGGGATCGTAAAATAAAAACCACTTGCTACTTAGTGATGCAGAGTTAGAAATAACGTTTGTACGTCTAGTTCTTATCCCACTAGATTATCCAGCACAGAGTTATAATACTTAATCATATATGATTTGTCTCACTGAATGTAAGTAATTCCGAATCAAGAACAATATCAGCGAATTCTCTTTCCACCATCGCGGGAAAGCGAATTCCCTTAACAATCCGTTCTCCCAGGGCTCTTCGTTTTAAGAAGCCTTGACAAACGAGGCCTTGCATTTCACATTCTTTTTCAGCCCAGCAATCAACAGCCTTGAATAATTCAACTTCTTTGATATTTGGTGAATTTTTCTCCACTAATTCCTCCAAAACTGTTCTCTCAACTGTGACGAACCCCTCTGATTTTACAGCTTCTAATGTTTGTGTCTCGATCACTTTCCAACAGTGATTCACTAAATCTTTTTCTTCGTATTTCTGTGCATCCTGCAAAACGTAAAACACGTTTAATGCGTTCAAGTCCTCTTGAAGGAAACCAGAGCACTTTTCGGCCAAAGTAGTCACCATGTATTTCTTTGATAAATACAACAACTGCATGACATTATCAACGTTAAGCTTTACTTCGTCGCTGTAGATAAAGCGAAACAACTCCAGTAGGCTTTCATACTCGCAGTCAGATATGTCCACTGAATCTTTTGTCGTCTCCGCCATTTCACCGAAAAACATGGCAGAAAACACTGGGCTACTGATCGCTAAAACAAACTTGTGAGCTAGAATCCTCTTGCTTCCGCCTTGGGAGTCAAGGACCACGAATTTCACATCGCTCAGGAGTTCTTGATTGAAAATAAACTCACATCTTTCTCTTATGGTACCTTTGACTGTTTGCCAGTAAGTGTCCGAAACTGTTGCGACTGACATGACTGAATGATACGACGTATCGGTAAATTTTTTTTGAGGGTTAACTGACTGCATATTCACAACATTCACGATATTGTTCCTTCCCTTGAGGCCTGCATGGAGGGGTCTTGTTACCCAGAATCCTAGGACAGCTCTAGGCTTGGTTTGTATACAAGGAGTTAATTTGTGAAATTTTTCTCATCAAAGCTACCATACCTAGTTAATCACATTGTTTTCTGAGGAAGTTTCAATGCAAAATTTGATTCGACAATTTAAACTCTTCACCTGTCGTGATTTGCTGGAAATATTAATCATGGGTTCTCTGGGGTTTATAGTTATCTTGTGATCAGTTTTAAAAGCTAATAATAATGATGATGATGATGATAATAATAATAATAATAGCAATAATAATGATAATAATAATAATAATAATAATAATAATAATAATAATGAATTATTTACAAGCAATATCTCTTAAAATGGTAAAAATATATACAACTCGTAACAAATGGATAAGTTAACTGCCTGGATTAGGTATAAGGGCGCTTTCCATTTGTTAGAACTGGCCTACAAGTCCAGTTCAATTGCAAAGAGAATTCCACTATTTGTCAGGGTTATCCAGCCAGATCAGTCTATTCATAAATGGCAAGCTCGGCAGTGGAGGGTTATAGGGAAATATTTGACAGAAAATTTCAAAATGACGGTTCTGGCCGGCCAGTTCTGACTTTACTTGGAAAGCGCCTTGAGGCTTGTTAGGACTTTGCATCATTTGACACGAAACTGATAGGGACGTCTTTAGAGGGAAGCCAACCTGGCCTCTAAGTCTCGGACGATGTTTAAAAATTATTCAACAGGCATTTTTCTCATTTAGCGGTCACTGGGAGAACTAAATAAAATAAATGTACAAAAAGCTAGCCTGGTGCTTTCATTTGGCTTCAAACCTTGCCGATTAAATTTCAGTAAAATATAAATGCGATTGAACTCTGATTTTGAACCCAATTTGATACTAAATCTTTCGCAACCTCGTGCTCTAAAACAAGGCTTGCTGTAGAATAATTTATCCATTAAATTTACCCAAGGAATTAAAACACTAGATTGATTGAAATCTGGCTATTTTTCACGCTGCTTTAGTCCTAGAATAGGAAAGTTTGTGGTAACTTCTATCGCAAATATCTCGTTCTTGCTTAAAAAGAAAACTTGGGGAAAAGAGTTGTTTGTTATCGCCCGAGCCCTTCACTTTACCGTCATCATAACGCCAACAAAGGTGAAAAGTCTTAGCGGGAGGGCGAGTTTCCAAAATTTTTGTGCGATATTTATCAGCATTCTAAAGCTACTCATTATTGCAAAGAAAAGGGCCGCGGAACGTATCACAGTGAATTTGAAGATAACTTGCGAAGATCGCCGCAGGAAATTATGATGTACGAGTATCACGGTATCAAAGTATTTGCGATTTTTATCGATATTTCACAGAATCATATATAGTCATAACGCTGACTATGCCCGCGTGGATGGGCTGTTTTATACATTTCATTTTTTACCCTCACATAGGGCTTTGGCCTTCTTCAACACAACTCGCAGGTAAGCAAAGGCATAGTTAAAAAATGACTGAGCAGTAAAAAATACGTTTATCTTACAAGGATATTTTACTTAATGAGGACAAAACATTTTAAACGGTCATTCCAGTTTACGGAAACAGACATTGGTGAAAATCACAATCAGAATGAAATAAATTCACAGCTAAAGTAAGAGAACTGTACAGTTCCATATTGCAAATGTTACAGTTCCGGATTGACAAACTTTTATTTCCACACTGTAAGCCATCATTTTCTATCCCTTCTAGATGGTTTGTCATTCCGTCTGGCCACTGCCAGGCTACCCACCAGTATCATATCAGGCGTTAACCGAAGTGGATCTTATTCTTTTGTCTAAGCTTAAGAGTAACAACAGAGGGCCGAGGTTGAGCAATAAAAAAAACGACTAGTGTGCTACGAAAACATGATTCAGTCCAGAGTAAACACAAATTTTGAAAATTGTCCTTTTTCAAAACTGGTGGGACTTGACACCGAGTAAAAGTGAAATGTCACTCCAGAATGTTTTACAGTAGAGCAGCCATTTGTTCCATACCAAGATGGGCGACCAGCAATGGTAGCCGAAATTAGATACCATCTGTTTGCTTTTATAGCAATAGACGGCACAAATACAATATCAAAGCCTTTGTGATCTCCAATTTCACAGTTTATCTGCTTAGATAAAAAAATCCCTTCTTGCCTTCTAACAGTTTCGCCGCTGTTATGATCGAACAGCTCGAGTGTTACTGAATATTCACTGTTGTCGCTTCCAAAAAGTTGTATTGCGTGTAGATGTATGTCCTTGTCAACTTCAAAACGTATACAGTCCGGAAAGTGTGAACCCCAACCCCTACCTAGTGATCTAAACCTAGAAACTTCAAGTTTGTGCCCAGCTCTCTTGGCGTCAGGAAATCCCAATGGATCATTAAGCACAGAGTTAAAATACTTCACCAGACGGTTCGTCTCTCGGGGTGTAAGTATTTCAGAATCGAGGACGAAATCAGCAAATTCTCTTTCCTCCATCACTGGAAAACGAATTCCTTGAACAACGCGTTCCCCAAGGACTCTTCTTTTCACGGAACCTTCAGCTACGAGACCTTGCTTTTCACATTCTTTTTCAGCCCAGCAATCGATAGCTTTGAATAACTCCACTTCTTTGATATTCAGCGAATTCTTCTCCACCAACTCCTCCAGTGCTGACCTTTCAACTGTAACGAAACCCTCTGATTTTACAGCTTCTTCTGTCTGTGTCTCAATCAATTTCCAGCAGTGATTCATCAAATCTTTCTCTTCGTATTTCTGCGCATCAGGCAAAATGTGAAACACGTTTAACGCATTTAAGTTCTCTTTAAGGAAAGCAGAGCACTTCTCAG